ACTTTGGATTTAGTATTTAAATATATGCCGATATATTAGTCAATTTATGGTATTTGCCAACAAATCGAGGGTTTACGATGAGCGAGTTAATTACGAGTTGATGAGGGTACGATTCGCCGGGAAGCTAGCTAGCTCGGTCCTTTGCCACACGCGCTGAGTTTCCCTCCATTGAAGTTAGGTAATGTCTTCGTAAAAATACTAATGTCTGATGAGAATCCACTAAAGTTAAACGATTTGTAACGTTCGAAATTTATGAATATTCCTGGTCAAATATCTTAAGTTTTCCGATTGATAAGCGTAATAAAAATCACAGCTATAGCTTTCGAAGTTTATAGCACATTGATTATAGCGAACTACTAATAGACACACATCTTTGGCACATCGCGTTGGTTATATTTATAGCTGTGTGGAGGCGTTCTAGAAATTTCAGTCTTAAATAACAATACTAGTTAAAGCGTTTAAATAGGCACATATATTGTTGATTCTTACTCTCGAGAATCTTCTACAACTTCGGAGAATAGGCGAGAGTTTCGCAATACATATTTAACAGTACAAGCTATGCATGTTTTTAAATATAAACTTAATCTAAACAACATCGATATTAAAATAAATATATAATAACAAATTTGTTACACCTATAAAGAAAGTTTGTTTGTTTTTGAAAGCCTTCGATCCTGTTCCTAGGACTGTTATCAGGTTAACTGAAAAATATGTTAATTGTAAACTCTCAAACAGGTTAACACACGCATGTGTAGCAGAATGAAGATATTCCAATGAGTGTTATAGGTTAAAAGACACGAGTTTTTACTTGTAACACCCATTTAAGTATCTATATTCTGCTTATTGATCTATTAGCCTGATGACGATTTCAGGAACAGGGTCGAAAGCTTGCAAATAAAACAAAGTCTTAAAGTGGAATAATAAACCAACTTACAGGTGGTTTAATATTATTCGTCCCATCTTTAAAGGAGGAGATTTAAAGATAAGGTTTCAGTAGTTGAACTGTTTTTGGTTAAACTCTATTCTCTATCACGAACGAATGATTAAAATATTATGTCAATTTTAATCATATTTACTGTAAGTTTTACCATGTTTTTATTTTTTTCACTATTAATAAGACTAATCTAGTATAACTATAAAGTTAATAACCAAAATAAATAAAGCCATTTGACTACTGAACCAAGAGAAGGTTAACTATATATTCGAGGTTCGCTTATCATTACCGCAAAAATACACTAGGCAGTATGGGATCGTGGGTTCGCTATAAAAGTGACGGTAAAATCCCATAATTTGGTTAGACAAAAGTAGCTAAAGAATTGGTGATTAGTACTGTTGACTAGTTGCTTTCCTTTTATTCTATCAATTCAAAACTATTAGCAGCTATTTGTGGAGACTCCTTTATTTTTTAGCGCTATGTTTGTTTGTTTGTAATTAAGCACAAAGCTACACAATGGGCTATCTGTGCTCTGCCCACCACGGGTATCGAAACCCGGATTCTAGCGTTGTAAGTCCACAGACATACCGCTATGCCACTGGGGGGCTTTAGCGTTATGAATAAGTATAGAATAGAGAATAAATGAGAAAACAAAGCTATTAACTACAATACTGTATAACCTGTAACTTCTAAGTGGATGTAGTGTTCTCTAGTAGCAATAGAAAAAAATCTAAATCCTCATGCATATTTCCACCCTTTACAAATGGAACATGTTTTAAATAGTCTCAGTATTTATCATGAAAGTACAATAGTGATTCAAGCTCTTAACTGCTAGGCGCTAATACAAATATAATAATTTGAAATATTTAATTCTTATCATTCTACATAACATGACGTTCCAAGTGTGGAGTTTCATGACTCTAGTTAGTGAGAAATTGGAGTCTAATGTATGTCGCGCCACCTATTTCATTTTTAGATGCATTTGTTTGTTGAGTTAAAACAAACGTGCATGTATTGAAACCTGTAAACGATTCCTCGAGTGATTGTAGTACCTCATTATGACCATTATATGTATAACTGAAAACTGACTACTGCTTTGTATTCCCTTCTAGCGTGCCTTATCTATCAGTGAGTGATATTTATTGGACAAGCTAAGAATGTATCAACAGTTTATCACAGAAAGAATGGTACATTGTATGAAGTTACGATTGAAATCTATTATCAGGATAATGTCAATCTCTAAGAGAAACTATGATTAATTCATCGATTCAATAATGTACGTATTGTCATATTGTCAGAGTTTACCACTCATTGTGATGTTGGCATTTGTAACCAATTAATAATCAGGCAAAAATTTGATTATCTGTAGAATATTTCGAAAAATATAAATATTATTAAGAGATGTAATGTTGGGAACAAGGAAAACAATTATGAAAATATGTAAGCATATTCTTCAAAGATGTGCATATGTAAGCATTGTTACTATAATACAAATGCGCTGAGCTAAACAAAAAACTACCTAATGTTACCAGATAATTCAGATACATCATATTCAAAAAATAATTCATAATAAACATATAATTGAAATACATCAGATTCAACACACTGAGGTTCATCATAGACAAACTGTTGAGATAAATCTTATCCAGCCCCAACAGATTGATCATAAACAGATAACTGAAATACATCTTATCCAGCCGCAACAGATTCATCATAGATAACAAAATATTTTTCCTGAGGGTAAAATAATATACATTTCTTTCGGAGACATTCATAATGGACCCGTATTTCAGATTTCTATTCTAATGAGTGGCATGAGTATCATAGACAGATAATTGAGATACATCTTATCCAGCCCAAAAAGATTCATCATAGATGACTAAATATTTTTTCCTGTGGGAAAAATAATATACATTTCTTTTGGAGATATTCATAATCGACCCGTATTTCAGATTTCTATTCTAATGAGTGGCATGAGTATCATAGACAGATAATTGAGATACATCTTATCCAGCCCAAAAAGATTCATCATAGATGACTAAATATTTTTTTCCTGTGGGAAAAATAATATACATTTCTTTTGGAGATATTCATAATCGACCCTTATTTCAGATTTCTATTCTAATGAGGAATTAAAACTATGAACATTAATTGATATATTTTAGATATAGAAACTTGTGTAAAACGTTATTATATAAATATTCATATAAGTGTAGCGATATAAATGTACTCCTGTGAAACTTCTTTTGGTATGTTACACTACTATAAAACTAAATCATTTAATCAAATAAAATAATCACGTACAATTTAGAATGTATTGCTATATGAACAAAGACATTTCAATAAAACCAATTGTTTTAAGAACTCATCACTGACCTACCTTTAATAAAAAACAATGTAAGCCAAAGCAAAATCATCTTGTTCAATGTAATCCAGTCCTCCGCTCTGAGTTAGTTCCACTCACTAAAGTAATTGTCTGTCCACTGAACTCTGGCTCATCGCCGTTGTTGTGGTAGAAATCTTGAGAGTGACTGATAGTGAGATAGTGGCGCCATCTTCATTATCAAAATTATATATCATTGAGCGTGAAGACATGATTGATTTACATTTCCAATCAAAGCAAAATACGCATGAACATAACTACTTCAATTATCTCATCTTTCACTCGCAAAAAGAAGTTGTTGCATAATTCATTGACAAATATTGGGCTCTCAATTGCTACAAAATAATACAGAGTTAATGGTCAGGGGAGAAGAAACAGTACATGGATATAAATTAGACTCTGCGCACCTCTGTGATGAGTATTAAATTATTTGCTTTCATGGAGTCGCTCCTGGAATAATGAATCTCACCATAAAGTTATATTTCCATATGTTTAGGGACACTGCTGTTCCATTTATCAGATGGTAGTGGTGACAGTCTTGCACTGTGAACACCTCTCAGTATACATTGTTTTCATATAAATAAAGATATTTTGATTTGAGATTGTTAGTTTAACAAATGGCTTATTTTTATTTTTAAAAATTTTGGAACAACTATCGTTAGTAATTTATGAATATCAAATATTTTATGGTGTACATACGGGAATAAATTTAGGGCGTGGCAGTAGCTTGAAGAATTGGGTTTTTAATATGGAAACGACTAAGTGGATTCTCAAAAACATTTGGACAAAGCTACAAGCATTGCTGACAAAACTAAAACCCTTCATCAGCTATTTCACATATTTCTTAAAAGAAACTCGTATCATGGCGCAGATCAAAATTTTCTGTGCCATTGTGCTCAAAATGCTAGACATCGTTAAATGATATAGGTTTTTAGTGTCATAATTAAATAATTTAATTTCTTAGTTTAATACAAACCATGCTAACTTTGTGTTTATTTTATAATTATAATTATTTTATAATTAAACTTTATTATGATGTGAAACCTCAATACAATGTTGTGTAACAATTGATTTGTTAATTTTAATTTGCTAAATAGTAGGTTTATTAGCTCTGAGGCATATTTATTAGTTACGACTTATTCGTCCAGTATAAATTTCATAAAATTTTCATTTAATTCTACAAACACCTGATTGATTGTAAGTGTTTAATAGATCTTTCATAAATGAGAGATAAACAATTTGATTAGTCTACATTTTTGTTTCTGTGATATACAATAGAAAAACTTTTGAGTCAGTTTTATTTTATTGATCCTTAGATTGATGTTATGCGATACCACCTTAGAGTTACTAGACTTCTTGCCTGCGAATCAGTAATGTTACTTTAAAAACGTGCAATATAGGGATGGCTTTAAGGAGAGCAAGCGCTTTTTTTTCTTTTAAATAAGTTTCTGTTGAACAAATCATTGGAAAGCTTACAAAATAATAAGGATAAGGGATAATTCATAGCTAAGTCATAAGTTTGGTTGTAGAATTGCTCGGTGTGAACGCCTTTTCCAAGCATGGTTATAATTAATTATAATTTTCATCAAATGTTAGTGCTAAGTTTTATTTTCATCTAAATTACTTTATTTCTGCACCAGAAGAAACGTTGGTCTTTTTTTCATTTTCTTACATAATTAAACAAGAATATTTCAAAAGGGTTTCATAAATATCTAATATATCTAGAGGCCTGCTAAATGTTCTCTTATGACAGATGCGCCATTTTAACGTGAAGAGGTAAATGTTGAGTTTCACCATTAATAATTATTATTCTACAATGATTAGATCCTCGCCATAAAGTGATCCAATCTTGATTAAAGAACTAAAGAAAACGCAATTATTTGTTCATTGATTTTTCTCGCAAAGCTACTCAAAGGCTAAGTGCTTAAATATTGAAGTGATAGACTAGAGTGGAGGCGGTTTGTTAAACACCGTCCGTCATCAACTCGTGGGCTAAACGAATCGACTAGTGGGAATTGACCGTTATCCTTATAACGCACCAACAGTTTCAAAGTGCAGATCGATTTTTTTTCTTTGCGGTAATGAGGCGCGAGCCCCGGAATCACAGTCCGCCACGCTAACCATTTGGCCACACTCAGCGTCCCACGGAAAGAAACAAGATAAGCTAAACGGAGAAGGTGAAATGTACTTAACGTAGATCCTATTCAGATTTACTAATGTTACTGGAAAGAAAACTTTTCGGAGCACCTTTGATAACAAACACAAAATGGAAAACTCATGGATGCCTTAAATTTTATATGTGGCAAAGATGTTCGCTTTTAGCGCACAAGCTGGTTATGAATAATGTATGATTCAGAAACTGGAAACTCTCTGTAGATTCAATGCTTTGTTTCATATAGCAAAGTGTCTCTCATGTTCAGTGACAGTTGTTGGTCCAAAATCTTGGCCTCTACTTGAAACAATTAACACTGAAGTGAATTGGTTCAACAAACCTTTGAATGAGTGGGATCTTGATCTTGTGTACCCACGTTTCTATTTGTTAATACATTATATGCACTTTAGAGGCTTATTTAGCACGTTTTCAGACTAATAACACCATTTGTATTTTAACATGGCCTTGAAAACTTCAAATAACGAGCGTGGGGGTTTAAAATAGATCAAATGAGCTAAAATTTTGCATGCAAATATATTTTTACATTTGTCAGAGGATAAGAGGGGCACTTGTGATTTTGAAAACTTTTGCTTTTTCTGCAGTACTCTAGTGTACATAGTGTTAACTAGTTTAAAGACAGAGGTTAAAGAACGTCAGTTATCAGTTGACACAATTGCTTGATTTGTTCTGACTTTTAGAGAAACATCCAACATTACTATAGAATGCATGGAAGAAAGTTTCAAAAAGTATTTTAACTCCCACAACAGAGCGTTTTTTAAAACATTAGGCAAATATTGCATTAAACTAGAAACAGGAGATTTGTAACTTAAACCCTCGTTTTATATCCCTAAACAAATAGATCTAATGCGTGTGTTCAAAATCTGATAACTAATTTGAAACAGTAAATAGTGCCTTGTCCACAAAGAGTTAAGCAAATAAGTGAAGCTAAGAATCAGAAGTCAGAATGCAAAAGCACTGATTCTTCTAAGCGTCTACATTACAAGCTTGATATGGTAGTAGGATTAAGTATCATAAGATAAATCCGGATAGTGGTAATAGAAAGAAAACCAAAAGCAGTAGTAGTAGTAGTAGCACATGAAACGTTTGTTCAAACATATGCCTTTATGTTACGTATTAGAATTTCAAATAGCCTGAAATTGAGTTAACTGATAAATTTGAATTTAGTAGTTAAATTGTACTTTGGATTTAGTAGTTTAGTAAAAGCCGATATATAGTAAGTTTATAATATTTGCATATGATTGATGCACATAGTTTTCTTTTATACAAATACGTTTTAATATACCTACAACAATACAATTTACAATAACTGTTATTACAAATAGTTGTTACAAACAATGATTTCTAAACAAAAGTTTCACAAACTTACAAGCAATATAAAGTCTTCTTTGTAGTCTGGAACTTCCTTGATATCTTATCGAGGATTCATAATGAGCGAGTTAATTATGAATTGAGGTAGGTACAATTCGCTTAACGGGAAGCTAGTTAGCTTTGTTCTTGTTATTCACCACCACATACACCGGGGTTTCCACCGTTGAAGTTGGGTAATGTTTTCGTAAAAATACCAATGTCCAATGAGAATCCACTGAAGTTAAATAATTTGTAATATTCGAACTTTGTAAAGGTTCCTGGTCAAATATCTGAAGTTTTGGTAAGCGTTATAACAATCACAGTTATAGCTTCCGAAGTTTTATAGCACACTGATTATAGTGAACTAATAATGGATACTCTCTTTCGCGCGTCACGATGGTTATATTTATAGCCGTGTGGAGGCGTTCTAGAAATTTCTGTTTTACGTCACAATAATGACTACATTTAAGCATTTACGTACATACATATGTTGTTGATTCTTACTCTAGATAATTTTCTATAACTTTGGAAAATAGGCGGGAGTTTCGCAATACATATTTAACAGTATAAGACATGTATGTTTCTCAATATAAACACACGTTGATATTAAAGTAAATATATAATAGTAAATCCGTCACACAACTTAGACATCAGAAACTTGGTTGTTTAACCACAAAAATGAGCTAACGTTGTCCATAGTATGTCCTAAGCTAGACATGCATCAATTTGATTATGAGAAAAAAATTATAGGTTGAAGGACAGTAGTTATTTGAAACTAACGAGAGATTGTACCACACATGGAAAAGGAATCGGTCTATTCTCAAGTTTTATAATTAGATATAAGTATGCCCAATTTATAGAACGTAATATTAATGAAGAGATAAGATTGTTTAAAAAATTAAAGGTTAGCCAAAAAATTTCAAGATTAAAAATGACATTAAAACAAACAAAATATTCACTTTCAGACAAAACTAGCTGTCAAAGAATTTCAGCAACACATAAACGAATTAAGAGAAATACTTGACAGAAAGGAAGTTAACACATTAAAACCAACAAATACGATACTGATAACACTATCAGCTTAATACATATTTTACTAAGCATACTGTTGTATGGATCATGATCACGAGAAAGCTAACAGCTGTTAAGTTGTTCAAGTTCTTGGAAGAAAAATAATATGAAATAGGACAATAGAGGCCTTACATACAATCAAAGGAAGCCTGAAATAGTTGAAATAAATTATTTGAAGAGACAAAATTTGATCTAAGAAGCAGTGAAATCAAGTAGAAGAGGGCCAAAATTCTCTAGTGTAAATACCAAATTGACGACTGTTATCAGTCAAAATTCGATAAGGTATAGACCAACTGGCAGTTAAGAAAACTGTGAGAAATGAGTAGCAAAGACAGAATTATTTATGACGACAAGAAAACTGATGAACCAGTGATACACCAGCAGACATGAGAATGGTAAGTTGTTATTACAAATTCAAATGCTCAAAGTCAGCCAAAAGTACCTCATAAATATAGGAGATACGGCAGAATATTTGCAATGATACACGAAATAATGTAGAATTTAAGCAAATTATCGAAG